TCGAACCCCTTTCCTATCGACGGGATCTTTTGTCACCTCAACTTTCATATCTGAAATGCTATGACTATTGGTCCAAGATCACGAAATATTCTGCTCCGAAGTTTAGGTCTAATTTCAGAGAATGGTTACATAAATTATTTTGCATAAATTTATATTACTTTCCAGTTTTCATTTAACTTTTTATTCCCGCACTTTTATTTTCTTCCCGACGACTCTCTTTATTTGATTAGAATATGTCCACATCGACGGGCACGCTCTCTAAACAACTGGGACAAGACTATAAAATGATGGGCAACGGCTCCATCGATTCGATGGACAAAAGTGTACTCAGCTCTGACGGCAGCTTCGAGGCGTACGAAAATCAAACGGCGCATCCCAGCGAATATCAAAAACCCAACTACAACGAATATGTGAGTCAACACGCGTTGAAGGGCGCCAATAAATCAAATGAACCATATAAAGTGGCGACAATTGGCTCGATTTCGAAAGCATCCACGGCGCGTGGCCGTCCCCGACCAACAGACACATTCGAGCTTTCCTACCGCAACGAAGGTTTCCGCGACAACTCTACTTATGCCAGCACGCTAAACAACTCGGTGGCCACTAGCATAGCCGAAGACACGCCCATCATACACCAAACCGATGTGGAGGATGGCAACTCGGATTACTATGGCAATGCCAGTACATTACCCTTACATAGTGGCGGTAATGAGAGTCTCTCATTCCTGCACGAGCTCAAACAAAATCTACCACCGCCCGCCTACAATAAACCAAAGGCGCAGGGACACAGTAGTTTTCTGCCCAGCGGCAGTGGGAATGGCAATGGCAAAATGCGTCCCAGCAGCAGCTCACAGCTCAGCAATGACTCACATATGAGTACGTTGCCATATGAGCAAAAAATTGATAATTTAAATTTCACACCCACCCCGCAAAAGGCGGAGGAAATGCCTTTGTATCGACATGAAACCGCCGCGATCAGTGGACTGCCAACACCGCCGCCTGACATGCGTCGTCCCGATTCCTACTACACCGCGGTGCGCAGCAGTAAGGCACAACCGCAGTTGTCGCGCATGGCCGCGGCGCCGCAGACTACGAGAGCGCTGGTGTCGGCGCAACAGCCGAGTGCTACGACACAGCCATTGGCTGGCAAGAACCCGGCGCAGGGTCACAACCAAAATGGCAAACGTCCAAAGACTGTTTATCAAACTGCCAGTCCGGAGCCGACGGCATACCATCGCTCCCGATCCGAGGCACTGTTAGAGACAGATTTCGACAATGAATCGCCGAGCATGGTGCCGCTTAGTACGAATAGTCGCAGCTATAGTCAGCCACTGGAGACGGCTATGTAGACTTAGTTTAATGCGAGATAGTGAAGTAATACGAGGAGGCGACGAAATCGAACGAAGTTTAGTATATGTATAGTGTAATAAGTAACGCATCATCACAAGCACACAAACGATAGAATCACACATGACGCACCTCTTTTTTTTTACCGTTATAATAATTTATTATAAGTAATACATGCAGCTACTTTTTAAGCGCTTGAGCAACAAACTAAACATTAACATTTTTATAGCATAAATATTATATTAAGCCTTTCGATCTGCCTTAATGCTACTATAGCTAGCCGATTTGCTGTTAAGCGAGTAAATATAGTAAGATGGAAGAGAAAGTGAAAATATTAACGCTTTTGCGTGTAGAGATTAAAACAAAATATAATAAAAATGAAACATAAAAAATAAAGAAATTAAAGTTTAAAAATAAAAATCACATTCGCTTTGTTCGAAAACTCATTTCAGTTCTTAAGTTACTATTGATCCATCCATTAGACATAAGTGTCCTATTTTAAGTTCATATGTATTAAATTATATAGATTTCATGTATATACATTAGACACTTGTAATTAATTAAGTTAACGATTTTTTATTAATTTTATATAAATTGACTGTTGCTTAAACGATATGCCAAGTATTTTGTTTAAAACTACAACAGTGTTCAATAAAGTGTTTAAAATGAAGAAAAAACTGGTTTTATTAAACTAAATTTTTAAAGAAAAAAGTTTAACTTCCGACTGCTAAGAAGCTAGAATATGCTTGGCATATAAAGAACTTTCCAAAGGATTTAATTTTAATCAGCTGTAGTGGTCCAATCACGACAGCTTCTTGGTATCTCGATATCTCGAAAACTGAAGGAATAGTTCGCGTATATACAGATGGATAGATATAGCTAAGGCGACTCAGCTCATTATGACGATTTTTATTTATTATATATTTATATAGATATATAACGGGCGATCCAAGTAGGGGTAGTTTTTTCAATAGCCTTTTTTTGTCAGATCACGCGTGAGTAGTATCATAACTAGGTATAAGAATATGATCAGTATGACAACCTCGACTCATTTAATAATACCCTACAGAAATAATTTCTCAGAGTTTGCCCAACTCAGAAAGAAGACCGCTTGCCTCAAAAAAATTCTATAAACACAAGAAAAGATACACATCAAACCGATATTTGATATCTTTGAAACAAAAAGGGAGTAGCATAAAGCCGTCTAGTATATCACGCCGTACTAATCTTTCGTTTCAAATTAGGAGGATTTCGACCAAATATTATATTTAAGGACAATAAGTCAAGAGGATAGAGACTTCTGTGGAAATTCACGCAAGTGAGAAAAGTTCTCTGAACGACGTTCACTTAGGATTGCCCAGAAGTGATTATTTTGCATATAGCTCAAACAGCTCACGCTCCGATCTTAGACCAAATATTCTATTGGTAGCCATAAAACATCCGTTTGAAGCCGAGCTAAAGTGGGAAGGAGTTTGAGTTTGGGACCCGCTACATAAAAAATAGCACCACTAATGAAACGAAGCTCGGCTATAACCGCGTAAGCGTTGTCTACGCCAATAAAGAAGTAGAAGTGAGTTAGTAGTTATCGACATATGAGTCTCATAGAGGATCGATCTACGAGAGACCAACAAACAGAAAAATGAACGATCGTCACTAGGATGTAGTATGTAGTATGCTATAACTGGTCGGTACTTTTGATATAGATCTTTGAAACCAATCAAACTTATAAACAGTTGAATTAAAAAAGGCCATCATCGTATGCGAGGTTCTTCTATTCAATTATTAGGAAGCGTACCTGCGATATTCATAAGCGCAATGTACATAAGCGGTTATTCAAGAGGAGTATCTACAGAGGAACAACAAATTAACAACTAATTCGCTTATACTTTTGGGAGCTACAGTAATATGAAATGTGCATTGTCAATAATATTAGACTCACCTGTTTAAAATGCAGTCAGTCAATCGTTCTCCGCGAAATTATATGCTATTTCATATTTCACAATATTAACTGAAATGAAAATTAAAAAAAAATTTTGTAATTAATAATTTTTTTATTTTTATAAACAAACAAAATTAACTTACTTATATTATATCATTTAACTACAAATTATTTTATAACTTTTTAAAATTTTATTCTGATTTTCATATAAATTTGACTTTGTAAAATCATATTTAGACTACCTGTTTTTTCTTTTTCAAATAAACCATCCTTATAACGGAAACTTTTTGTGTAGTATACTTTCTATTTGCCCACCACTGTGCAGTTTAGAAGCTAGTGCATTATGCCACCAAACTGTCAGTTTGAAATTCAATTACACCCAGTCTTCATTATAAAAACTTTTCTCAGTGCCTTTCTAGCAAACGAAACCAAACAGAAAAGCTAAGCCTGGAATTCAATATCAGTGGCAATTAGTTCCAATTTCCCGAGTATATAATTTTACGATATAACTATTATATTATCTTACTCTCTACGTTGCTCCAGCGTGTTAGAGACAGATTTCACTACATGATCATGATAACCAAACTTAACAACATTACGACATGTAACTTGTTCTAGTTCCATTGAAAATCGCTGCGTATGTAATCAAGAATCATACGACAACAAATATGTAGCTTCTAACCTTTAAAATGTTTATCACTACTAAGCCCCAAAAAAATGTAAGCTATTAGACGTTATTCATAAGTCAAGAACAAAGCAAGGAAAAAAAAACAATGAAATATCTCTTCTGCATTTGTGCCGCCTTGACAAGACCCAACGACACTGGAGAAGGTATCGCTAGTGCTGCCACAGAGTTTGTTGAAATAGGCGTAAAAGCGCAGACATCCTAAGGTTGACTACTCCTCATGAAACTCGTAGCTGAACTACATCTAGTACCGCAAAGAACCCAAACTGGTCTATGTCTCATAAGCCTACCAGACTAGCATAATCTAACCGGACAGAAGTCTTTCCGGGCTATATAAGTAGATCCGATTGTATTCTTCCTTTCTTCCGCCTTTAAAATCTGATTGTGAATACCTGCTGAAAGATAAGCACTTCGAACAATTCTAACCAACCGAATTATAGTACCTTGAACTGAGTATATAAAATCCGAGAAAACCAAGACTCCTCGATTTAGTTGTAATAGTGATAAATATAAATAGTAATAAATGAAGCAGAATTTTATAATAAGAATATTCCCAGACCTCCTTTAAATGAAAATATAAGTCTTCAAGTTCCGAATTTTCAACATAGACCTGCAAGAGTTACGCTCGGCGTTAACTTTAAAAAGTTATTTGTTGTTTTTTGGAGTGTGCGCGAGAGTTGTGGCTGCAAGCGCCGGGCGTAGAGTACAAGCATAGCGCAGCGCTGCCTTAGCAATAGTGGGCGCTGCTGAGCGCCATAAAGCACGCGCCACACGATGCTGCCGCTGTTTTACAATGAAAGCGTAAATTTTTTTTTCTTTTTTTTTTATGTATTATACTCTGCTACACTTTCTTACCACCGGTGAGAGCGCTTACGTTGTCTGCAAACGCGCAGCCAAAACAGAATGCTCCAGAGAACGTCTATTGAGCGCTCAACGTTGATTTTGCTATTATACTTTATGTATTTTCACTTGCGCTGCCACTCTACACAATTCAGCGCCGTAGTTGGAAAAAAACCTCCAACACAGCAGTGTTCTTACATCGATTGCGCTGCCAGTCAGCGGTGAAAACAAAACGCCAGCAGTACCTATTATCACTACCAGCACGTATAGTACGTCCGCGGTGCTATTTCTACTACACCTACTACTAATACGACTACTGGACTAATTGCTAATAGCGCAGCGCGTTGCTTGTTGAGTTGCCCAACCGCACACCTGCCACCCGCGCGCGTTACCAAACTGGAAAATTAGAAACAATAAATAATAAGAAAAGAGCCCAATTTCAACGACAGATAGTCTGCAACGTCGCCGATACAAAGAAAAAACAAACAAGTATTCCGGCAGTCGTGCTGCCCGTTCGTGGGCATTTATGTACTTAAACTCCGGCCGTAGGCGTTAAGGCAGCACAGTGCGCTTGAGTGTTTGCTCGCAAATAGCATGATGTGTAAAACAATTGAGTAATATATTTGAGTGTTTGTGCGCGCGTGTGTGTTCATACGAAAAGCGATAGTAGTGAGCGCGACTCCTAGTAAAAACCAGAAAGTAGTCAAACCACCAAAAGTTCGAGTAGCCGACAGCGCTACGATTCAGTGAATGCTGCTGCTGGAAGAGGAACAAATAAAACTAAAAGTAACACAACAAAAAATTTAAGTCAAACAAGAATTACTACAACCGCAGCGGCAGTGAAGGCGGCAGCAATACAGCCCACAACAATAACAAAAAAGTTACGAGTAGTAAGCGTAGTAGTAGCGACAATCACTAGAGCCACAGCAGCCGCGACACCAAAGCGCTAGTACTGTTGCGGCTCTTGTTGAAGGCGGAAGGCGGAAGAATGTGGTAATAATAGAGAATAGGTGATGTTTTCGTGACCCGCGTGAGACGCGTCTATGCCCTGCGTACAGCGCAAACACGGTAAAAAAAAAAAAAAACGAAAAATCGAACAAAGCTAGTAAAGTTTAAGGTACACGAAGGAAGTGCAATAAAATAGCAGTAAAAATAAAAATAAAACAATATTACACAAGTAAAAGCAATAAACGCGAACGTTGGCCAAAAAGTCAAACCGGCGTCGGCAGCGCAAAATTAGTAAACGTTGCCAGCAAAGAAAATAAAATAAAAAACAACGAAAAGTACTAACTAAAGAAGCAATAGTAGTCGTTAGAACAACAAAAACAGCAAAAAGAATAGGTGAGCGACGGCGCGCAATAGCGTTAACGTAGAGCGCAGCGTTGAAGCAGCGCGCACAGCGTACAGCGGGTAAGTACAAGTTTAAACTATGTAACGCGCTACGCCGCGGTAGGCTATATGCCCTACAGGCGCGCTGTCAGTTTATGTTTATTAGTGCTTACTATTTGATTTGTTTTACAACGTTATCTTTTTTGCCGCATCCGCAACTAAACGCGTATTTGTAGAGACACTTTTTGTCACTTCTTTGTCTCCCTCAAACGTTTTATGCATACGCGCTAAGAAGATTTTTTTACAAATATTTGTGATAATAACAGCAGCGCTGTTAGATTTAAGCACGCGCTACATCCTACAAAATGAAGAAAGAGCCAGAAGGGTAACTTAAACTGGTGCAGCGGATCAGCGCGGAAGCTTAGAGTTGCTTTATTCGCTTAGAAAACTCTAGCGCGTATATATTATACGCTTCTAAGTACTTGCCGTATATATTCTATGTACATAAACACATTTATTCTCATACAATAAAGTAAAGACACGAAATTTATGAAGCAGCGCTCAGCCGTAGTAAAGTAGAATATACGCGCACAACGCAGCGCGCTGCCGGACGAAGTGCGCTCTTTCTTGGCGCTCATCTTTCATATACTGGTTACCTTCATCTACATCTTCCGCTTTACCATTTTCGTCATTTGCTGTCGCTGGTACTGACGCTGGTGCTAATTGTGTTTGTTTCTTATTCTTCTTATTCTATACATTTTGGTGGCTCTTCAATTTGCAAACGCTTTGAGATTATCGTTTGCGCTTTGCCTGCTTATTTCTGATTTCATTTCAATTATTTTCTCACCTTTTTCTCTCTGTACTGCGCTCAACTTGTCAACATCTTTGCCGTTTTGTGGCCTTTGTCATCATCATCATTATCATCAGCAGCGCACTTTGGCAAAACGGCTGGGCAATCAAGTGTGTGGGCACGTACGCGTATATAAATATTTATAGGCGTATAAGAATATAAATAAGCTTGTACTATGTGCTTGCTATACAAATATGAAAGAGCGGTCGAGCTCAATGAGCACATTGAAGATGGTGAAGAGCGCAGCGCGTAGGCCTGTCTGCTGTTTTACTCCACTGGGACGATGTGTAGCGAGTGACGAGTGGGTGGGTGGTTTTGGCTATGTGCTCTCACCCAGCTCATAGGAGTGTAAAATATTATTAGTCACTTGGTCTCACTGCGCAGCGATTTGCCATGTTTACCAGCTTATTCTTATTATAATATTCCATTTTAAAGCTTTTCGTTTTTATTTGTAGGGAGTTTAAGTACTGTTAGTTTGCGAAACTAGTCAGGCCCTCATAAATTCAATTCAATTGTTTTTAAGAGAATTTTAAATAATTTCTTCTCAAAATTTATTTTACTGTAAAATTTGTTTTAAAAAACGAAACATGTGGCAACACTCAATATAAAAATTACAAATAGTGGCCTAGAATGAAAAATAAAATCTTTCTTCATAAATTTGTAGGCAAAGGAAGAACGATAAATATAAAGAAACCATTCATTTTGAAACAAAACCTAAGTTTTGGTTATAAATTGGTTATATTGGGTAGTCGAAAAAGTATTTTCGTAGTTTGTTAATAGATGTCATTGTAGACGTTTATCTCGAGTATAACTCGCATTGTGTCATACTATGTAGTGTTGGAAAGGTGAGATTCATTTAACTACAAAAAAATTAAATTCGGCGAAGTTGAAAAAGTTACGGCTGTTCAAAAATATGCGAAAAAAGGAAGAAATTCGCCATATTTTKAAATTTTTATATWAAAAATTAAATAATATTTATTTATTTACTTAATACTATAAATAAAAAAAAATAAATTGAAGTTTGATTAGAAATACGGAAGACTTTTTCGACTAACCAATATATTGGTTATGTCTGACAGCTGAAGCTGAAAATTCTATGCCGAATATATATCCTAAGATGTAGTGAGTTGTAAGCAATAAAAAACACAATTTAGACTTTTAATGATGCGTTTTTTGCAATGTAGGTGACTTTTAGGTGTAGTCTTAATAAGTAATAATATATATTGTTTATTATATCTAATGGTGGATTTCAAATTGATTGGTAGGGAAGTGTAGATTTTATCAGAAGTTCACCGTAAAATCATTCGGAAAGTTAAGTGAAGGTTAAATTGAAATACGTGGAACGACCTCCTAAATGTAAGCAACGTTAATATGTATGTCATGTCAACGTAGTCTACCTTTAGGCGCTTAAATAAATTTGTTGCTCTTGAAGCAGGAAATACTTGAAATCATTGATATAATTATAAATATTAAACAATTTCTGTCATTCATTAAGATCAACACAAGTAAAATATTTCTAAAACCCCCAAATAACAAACAATCTGGCAGCACCCAATAAGTTGAACATTGTGCAGCAAGTTAAGAACAGCAGCAACAATGATGCATCAACCAAGAACTAAACCTCAACACTTTAGAGAGCCATTAAGGCACACATAGGCAACCAGCAACGCGCTCAACGCTCTCGCGCTACTCGTGTGGCAAGTTCCACTGCCTGACGCTTTGCGCAACGCCAGCTAACAAATGTGATGCCACGGTGCAATCGTAACTCACTTTTACGCGAAGCAGCAACAACAACAACACAAACAAAGCTTTTTATTGTAGGTATTGGCATGCATGGACACCATTCATTCGCTTGGTGGAGCAGCGCGTGCAGCCATTGTGCCATGCATGCACAGCCATAAGCGCAACCACAAAGCGCCATCACTGTGTACTACAGAAAATCGAGTAGTATATGCAAGCGTGTCCTTACATACATGTATATATAAGACATAAAAGTATGTGTGTAATAGCAGGCGCTTCCAAAACTCTTGTGGCTGCTTGGTTTTGGGGGCTTTTGTGACTTGGCGCTCACTGCTAACGCTGCGCCTTTACTCTGTGGCCAACAACGCGCGCCTTACACTCACCGGGCGCCACACTAAACTTTTGCTTTTCGCTGATGGAGACAATTCGTTTTTCAGTTTCAATTTCGTTTTCGGTTTCAGTTCCCGTTTGCAGCTTCAACAGGACACACAGAGCGGACTAACCAAAGCGCCGCAGTTGTTCGCACTTACTTACTACTACTACTACTAACTTACTATATAACACAGCCAGCTCTGCCAATACTAAATTTTATATGTGTTCATATGTATATGTGGAAATATATATGCTAGTGCACCGCACAAAGTATATGGCATAGCGCGCTGGGGCTGGCTGTGAGTGATTCTTACTGTGAAACAGTGATTTTATGTGCGCCATTGTCGGCGCACCGCGTTGGTCCACGCCATCGATGCAGTGTATAACGCGCGTTTGTTTGTGTGTGCCGTTGCGCGAGTGCAGTGCGGTCCCAACTGTCAGTTCAGAAAGTCAGTGAAGTGCCGTGTACAGTGTAGAGTGCCATAAGAATAGCCATAACCATAGGAGCCGACGGCTTCCTAGCTGTATTCAGTGCCACATAGTTAGTCTCAACATTTTGGTAGCGTCGCCACTGGACGTCGGCAACGCCAATGTCAGTACTACCAGCAGGACAGAGCCATAATCTTAGAGGCAGAGGCGCAGCCAAGAGTACACACTACTGCCAGCAGCAGTAGTAGTAGCAGCAGACGCAAGCGGTTCGTGAATTGCAGTAAGTGTGCTGGTTAAATTGACGTTTCACAAAAATTGTTAAGGATTTCTGTTAGCTTTCCTTTTGTTACGCGCAACTTCTACAAATTATTTTGTTCCCATTTTGGTTGCCTTCGTATTTTTTTCCATGCGCGCTGCTCACCACTTTACACATTATTGTCGGCAGCGCTGCTGTCGCGTCAAACAGCTATGTAAGTCATATGTTGTATGCTTGCACTCCACATATATATGGCGCTCTCGTTTACTTAGTGCGCTGTCGCCAATTTATCCGGCGAGCTTTAGCGCGTCGTCTATGGCTAGCATAAAAAAAAATGTTTGTAGACAAAACGTTAGCGGTTATGTCAGCGCGATAATTTCTTTTGGACCGCGCTGGCCTTCATCGTCTTCATTGTCGTTGTCCGCGTCTGCATCCGCGTCATCGTAAGCGTTGCCTCACGCCTCGCGCCTTGCAGTTATGAGTACGCAAAAAGTGAGCGCGTTTGAGAAGTCGTGTGTAAAGAGTAAAAGGGTAGCGGACAGTGGCAATGAAGAGGAGCGTGAGAGCGCGCAGGCGAGTGTGGGTAAAATATAAATACGTTAGCGGCCAGAAAATGTGCGAATAATTTATGTAAAAGTGCAAAAATCTTTGCAAAAATAGAAATGAAAATCGAATTGTTCGCGTTGCAGGGGGAATGTTGAAAAATGGCAAGTTAATAATTGGTGGCTTGTGTATATAGTAGGTGTGTTATATTTAATGGTTGTTGGAAAGAAAAATTAAAACAATTTTTTCTAACAATAAACACACTGACGTACTTAATTGAGCTCGAATCAATAATCATTAATTGTCAGCTATTAGTTCAGTTTATAATTGACTTGAATTAGTTCTAAGTAAATATAGTACGCAATTAATGAATGACTTAATTAAAGGTTTTGGAAATGAGTTATATTTTTCGGAAATTTCAGTATAAGAAATTTTCTGGTCAAATTAATGATTAATATTTGACGACTCTACGAAAGAAAATATGATTTAATTTAAAATAGAATTATGCATGCTAATGACTTATACTTAAATGAACTCAATACTTAACTAATTGGTATAATTTCAATATAAGAGTTTAAATTCTGCCAATATTCATTGCGCCATTGAATTAGATTGACATATAAAAACAAATCCCAGAATTTCAGGCGTGTGAACAACTTGAGCTCGTTGTATAACTTAGTTGAGTAATTGAGCAATTTTAACTCAATGCTATAATCAATTTACTAATTTAAGAACAAAACTGATTTAAAATCTTAATTAAATAATTGAAAAGATTAATTTGTAACTAATTAGTGACTAATCGACTAATCAATGAATTTAAAGTAAAAGTCTTCAGTTAATCAATAATTTATTTATTTAGATTAAATATCATTTATTAAGATTAATTTGTAA